TTAGAGACAGATAAAAGGTTTTTAGTAACATCAGGAACATGCAGAAGATTATTAATGTAAAGAGCTCGAGATATGGTTTGAATGAGAGATGAACCAGTCTTATATATATTAAGATTATGTCCATTTCCAATAACTAACTTACCTGGTCCTGAATAATCAGACCCATTGTTAAGTTTGGAACTGTCTGGAGTGACATGGTGAGTAGCTCCTGAGTCTATAACCCATTTATCCGAGTTGGAAGGTAATGAAGAAGATCTTTGTACTGGTGCACATCCATTACATGTACATGTATAACGTTCATTTTCAAAACTCGATACCTATGTATTGAAAGATTCTTGTTTGTCAGCCAACACTCCAGAAAATGATTGATCAAACTGATGCCAGCATCGATCCACAGTGTGACCCATCTTTCCACACAATTGACACTGCACACTTACTCTTCCACGACCTCGAGAACTAGTTCAGCCATGAGAGAGTACTGCTACGAGCTTCTTTCATTCCCATTGTAATGTTGATCGGTAGATCGATCAGTGAACTTCCTTTTGTTGTTATTCTAAACATGCACAACATTAGCACTGAGAAGTGGTTGAGACTGTGCTTGAAAACTTTTAAGTTGAGCTTTAGCATCAATTAATATTGATTGAACTCCATCCACTGTGAAGGCATATTTGCTTGCAGTAATAACAACAACAAAAGGCTGATATTCAAATAGAAGTCCATTCAGAATTGTGGTAACCTGATCAATATCAGATATCACACTGCCACATGCTGCTAATGCATCGCAAACTTCTTTGATTGAAGTAAGGTACGATCGCATGCTCTCATCTCCTTTGTTGATGAACCGTAATTTGCAGTGCAAGCTCATTATACTGGTAGTCGATCGATTTGAAAAGAATTTAAGAACAGTAGCCCATACCTCAGCAGTAGTTTCAGCACCAACGAACTGTGGGAGAAGATGATCACTAATGGTGGATAATAGCCAAGAAGCCAGGGCACTATCTTGTGCCACAAACACATCATACTCTTCATTGATTACAAGATTACCATCAACATCCAGTATTCTCTCAGGTGGAGAGCTCAGATCGCCGGTGAGTAACCTCTCAAGTCGATGACTTCGAACTGTTAAGAGGACCTGCTGCTTCCATCGAAGGAAATTCATTTCGTCAAGCATGATGTTTATGCGTTTATTGGTAAACATCTTGCTGGGCCTCAACGACTCTGAACCTCCAAGAATATTTCCAGAACCCTGAATGCCAAGACAGTAGCTCTTGCAAGATGGATCTAGAAATCTTGCCAAGAAATATCACGCAACAGAAGAAGAAAAGAAGTTTATCCCAGAATCAACTGAGCGATTGATACCATAATAGAAAACTCAATGAAAATAGAAACTAATTATTGTTATTGATTCATCGTTTACAAGAACATTGCCCATCTTTATATACAAATAACGGTGCAAATGTAACATCTATAACAACTATAACAAAAAGGTTGTTATGATGTAAACTAACTGAGCTCACTAAGCATTGCTAAGTTGGTGTACACTGCATGCTGTACTCCATCCAATAAAATTTAACTATTAAATTAACAAATTAAAAATATAATAAGTGAAATAAGAGAGAATAAAATTCAATGACCGGAAGAAACAATTCCAACCTTTATTTCTTTTGTTAGGATCTATAGTAGGATATAAAGTCAAGTTCTTCAACACCGGCGCATTCATCAAAAGGTATCCGACGAGTTCAATCTCTTGAAACTCACCGACTACGATAATTTCGGCCGTCTCAAGATTGGCCCTTGATAGTACAACCCTCATATGACCCCTGTAACAAACAATGATAATTAGATTAATACAATGATTGTCCAATGGTCGTTATGTATAATTGACTAAGTTCGGTGTATAATATGTGATTGAAATTTTGTCCCAACTCATTCATATTTATAAATGACCTTATTCAATATATAAAAGATTAGAATTAAATATTCAACGTACCTTCTTTAGAGAGAAAGAAGTCAAATTAGGTGAACGTTCCTCTATGAAACGCAAAGCATAAGAAGGAAACTTGTTAAGCTTAATCGCAAGATGGGTCAAATTTGGCCAAACAATTGCTCCATTATCATCCATTTCTTCCAACAAAACATTCTGCAGTATCATATATAAAAAAGGGTAAATTTTACCATTCAATTTTCTTATTGAATAGGAAACTTAACATAATTAGTATTTTTTGTCACTCAACCGTTTTCTCACTAAACGGCGTTATAAATGAACTGTTATATAGATGAAAAACGATATCGTTTTGGTGAAAATTTTGTTTTTCTAAAACAACGTTGTTCCGCCGTTAAAAATTTAACATACTTTAGGGGAAGGAATGAGAGTATTTTTTGGTAAATCTAAAACCCATAACCTAAAAGAATACGATGAAACGAAGATAAACAACTTAAACAACCGACTAAACGTGCTTGTTGAAATCAAACTGAAGTAAAAGGAAGGGAAAATAAACATACATCGGCATTATATATCAAATGCGGTACCGTATTAGAGATTGGCTTAAAAAGATTTTGGACGAGTTTGGACGGACGAGTAACTTCAATGCTAGCTGAAGCCAGGGATAATACACGATTTGAATCATCTTCATCATGTATCCCACTAGGTTTAACAAGGTATTCTTGGACTACAACCTCGGCAGTCGTATACATTGAGTACCTGTCCGAGTGAAGAAAGCAATCTTCGATTTCGAGAATTTGGAGCTGAGGGCATCCGGAGAGAAGCTTGTTCAATGTGTTACCACCCACGACTGAAACACCTTTGAGTCGGAGGGTTTTAAGACACGAAAAAAAAAACACAGACATCGATGGAGATTTCTTCACTACGACCTGACATGACCGGACAAGCATACGGTTTCGAGTTTCTGGCATCAAGTGGTCGTACTAGATAAATCGAGATGATAACTACGACGAGTCAGATGAATACGAAACACTTGAAGATTAGATCGACTAGGGGTCGTCAAGAGATCAATCCACTCACGAAATCGTGGCAATTGAAACGCACAAGACGAAATCTCTCGACCAAGTTTTCATTGTTCTTTAAGACATGGTCAATGGTTCTTTTGAAGGTACGTGATGGATACTCATCGTCTCTAAGATCGAGTGCGGCGACGGACCTCCATAAGTATAGGAATCTTGTGGATAAACATCTCATTCTTAATATACAATGAAACGGAAGGAAAGAAAGAACATTGCAGAGAAGCTCATCAGGCAAATCACTCAACCTATTGACCATTTCCCCATCGGCTGCCATTGTTGATGATGTTAGTTAAACCTAGATTCAAAAGTCCGGGCACTTAAATAATAAGCGTGGATGAGATAATGGTTAGGGCTTCGAGATTTCAGTGATAAGAGAGAATTCCATAGAAATCTCCGGTTTAAATAATTGCATTGCATAATACATGAGTTATTAATTATATTAGTGCAATTTTTTGTTACAATCATTCTCAATTATTTAAATAATAATAATGTACTTATGTTGTTGGTCCGTAGCATTTATACTAAGATTCACTAGATTTAAAAAAAATAGTTTCTCAAAATTATTATTTTTACTTCGTTTATACAAAAATAAAAAATATGGTGAATAAAAATATACGTGTGACAAGTTCATGTTTTTATTAGACAATAACAAAGGTTTACATAAAATTAAAAAATTAAGATACAATATATATATATATATATATATATATATATAATGTTCATAAAATATTATATAATTTGTGGGTTTCGAGTTTACAACTAAAAAAAGTCAATCAATTTATAGTAATTTTGATTAGAACAAAAAATATTAGAAATAATATAATATTTTCAGTTTCAACCTAATATGTTATTTTATCTAATCTAAAAAAATATACTTTTGATAAGATTTTGGTTTCAGCTGATTTATTTCGGTTTTTAACTTTATATTAAATGAGTTTTAGACTTGTCTACAGTGGAGCAATTGCTATAGGATGATTGTGTTTCCTAGTGTATTAGCGTAGACATTCTCTTCATATAGCTCATATTTATTGTTCAGTACTATAAAGGACAATATTGAATGGATGATTGCAGTAGCAATATAGCATGCCTTGTTTACCTCATGTATTTACGGTGTCTTCTATGTCAAATTTTATGTTATATTGGTTATTATTAAGGCCAATATTGTCGCTAGTAACGTGATGAGTATTTGATTGGTTGATTAAGAAAATCAGATTTTATTTCTGTTTAAAATAGGATATTCGACTATGTACGGGAAACTAGGGTGTAAATGAACAAAGTGTTAAATGAACTATTTGTGAACCACTTGTATAATTTTTGTTTAGTAAGTTAAATACACAAATATGAACAAAATTTGTATCTTCATTTAATAAATGAAACACTAACATATGTGTGTTCGGTTCGTGAACAATAAGGTGAAGGTAGAAACTAAATTGAATATAAGTTGACCCTTGGAGTTCAAACTGTGAAGACTAAAGAACTTAAAGACTATTAGTGTAATTTCACTATTTTTCTTTGGCTTGAAAATAAAAGGGTAAAAAGAGAGCATTGACTATGGAACATTAGCGAACGCTAATTGAGCATATTTAAGAATTTTAAACGAACGAATATGAACATGTTGAAAAATAAATAAACGAACACAATATTAAAAATTTAAACAAACACGAACCGAACATGAATATCTATAAAAGTAATAAATGAACATGAACATAAATTTGTTCGTTCAAATCGGTTCACTTACACCCCTAGAGGAAACATCCTTTGCATGCTTCCTTCTTGTTACAGTGTTCACAAGAAATGTTCATTGTAAGGATATATTAGCAACGGTTTCTGGAAACAGAAACTCCCTGCTAAGAATTGGAAATATAGTGATTCTAGTTGTCTTAAAAAAAGTCATTACATATGTTCATTTATCTTGCTATTAATATTTTCTGAAGGCATTGTTAATTCATTGTTAGACTAGATTGATAGATGCACCCGAGATGATGAAGCAGGGTGTGAGGCGACTCCTTGTTCCAATGAGCAATTTGGAGAGGCGTGACCAAGAGATTCTCACTTCTTTACAACGGCAAGTGGCTCAAGAACATTGAAAATGGTAGTAGCAAGAACCTCATTGTCAATGCCAACATCCACTCTTCGTCCACCTCGACCTACATGCACGACAAGTTTTGCTGTCTCTCGAGAGAAGACATGATCTGTTTCCTAATCGGTTGCCTCGGTACTCTAGGTCCACTCCCTCTCGGCTGGATGATTCATTACGGGGATTGAGGATAATGCGAGTTCACCATTTTTTCCCGACATTTCTGTTGATTCACCGGACCAAGTTGGATTGGTGAAGCCAATGAGCTCGGGTTTCATGTTTATAGGCAGAAGTGCACTTTTGACATGTAAAATCACGAGCTCATTGGCAGCTGTAATGGCTCAAATGTTGTCTCACAGGGCAACCCATGTGTTGGTGACCGAAGATGAAAATGAGGATGTTTTAGTTGGGGTGGTCGATTATGCGGATATTTTGGTTGCAGTTACCAAACAGCTGGCAACATTGGTTCCGACAACTCGATCGATCGTGGAGCTTGGCTCGGAAATTCGAAGTTGAATGCCCATCTTGTCGGTGTCTGTGTGCATTTGCCAATATTATACATGGTTGTTGCAGGGTGCAATCCACTTTTCATGGAAAGATATTCCAGCCAAGCTAAAAAGCTTGTAAGTGGAACCGAAAAAATTGTTTTGTAATAAAATTGTTTGGAAACACAATTCCAATAGAGGATGTTATCTATCTGAGACTAAATTGGAACCTAAGAAAAAGTAAAGGAAATAATCTAATTCCTTTAAAAAAGAGAGAGAATTAAAGGAAATAAAATACTCTATTTTTTATCCTAAGATCGGAATCAGTTGAGGCCTGTCTTTATACAGTTTCCTTAAGACAGATTTTCGGTCACTCCTTGGTGCTCTAGATCCTTTGGTCGTTTGTCTTTCCTTGCCTTCGACTATCACCTTGCCTTCGACTATCACCGGAAAAACTAAGGGAAAAAGAATATTTTCTGAGAATGAGAGAAAATATTTTTTAAAAGAATAAGACTTCTTGAATTATGAGATATGAAAAACTAAGAGATTTGCTCATATTTATAGGAGAACTTTGAGAGAGATTAACTCCAATTAAAACTCTTTTAATAACTAAATTTAAACATATAATAATATCTTTTAAATTTAAAATAGTAAACCTAAGAGATTTACTACATATAGATATCTTTTAGTATATAGATTTAAACATATAATAATATCTTTTAAATCTAAGATATTAAACATATATACACTCCTTTTATTATTCAAATTAAACAATTATTATTTTTAATTTGAAATATACAAAAATATATATAATTATCTTTTAATATTCAAAGTTAAAAAGGTAACAATTTTAAATTGACATATTAAAAGCGTAATTATCCTACTAATATTCAAATTAAATTACATCTTTTACTTTGCAATATTTAAAAGGATTCTGAATTTAATATAAATATTAAATCCATCAAATTAATTCACCTTTTTTTTCCAACAATCCCCACATGAATGAAATTAATGATTTAATCAAAACATTTTGACACGATGTGGTATAGCCTCTACAAACGATAGTTGCATAGGATTGATAGTTATCCTCCTTTGAACCTTCACTTGTGGCAGTATATTTACTTTACTGGTTAAACAGTAGACGCGATGTCCTTGAATTGTTCTGTCGTTTCTGTAAACGATGGCACACTTCATACAAATACCCTTCTAACAAGAATTTAGTTCTCATGGGTATGTCCTTAAAGCCATGGACATCGCCGCAAGAGTTTGAGATAACTATACCCCAATAGTCTCCTTGAAGCGGTCCCACTTCACTCTCACATAGGTGACTTATGTTGCTTGGCTCACTGCAGCACACAATCGTCATTAAAAGTTTTTTGTTTAACATATACCACTTTGATCACTATTTACATTATAAGAATGAACTTGGGATAAGAAACCTCACAGTGACCGTACACATGATATACAATTAGGTTGTCCATTTGAACCTAGATCTTGGGATCTTTAATCAACAAGGTAGGGTTTTACTTCACATAACACCTTTAAATTTCACGGGCTTTAGTCTTATTCCTTTAGACGTTTTCTCAACTTGATCTCGATTTAACCCTCTGGTTAGTGGATCGATGATGTTATCCTTTGATTTTACAAAATCAATAGAGATAACTCCATTTGAGATTGTTACCAGGTTTGATCTTCCCTAAAGAGTAGTGAAGCAGATCGCTTTCTTTCGGGTTCAATCTTCCTTGAAGATTAGTGAAGCGTACATTTTCCAGATTTGATCTTTCCTGAAAAATAGCAAAACAGATTAAATTCAATCTCCCCTGAATTTGCAGTGGAGGGAATTACACTCGGAGATTTATGTTTGTCATAATCGAACGAAAAACTTATATTCTTTATCTTTGTCCTATTTTTATTACATGATAATGGACAAAGAGGGGCACTGTATATACTTGTTTTCTTCCGGGGGTATATAAGTTTTTTTAAAAATACATATTATACGTATATATGTTATAAGTAAAGTGATAAATAATATATTTTTGAAAATATATTATATATTTTTAAAATTATGGTTTTTGAAAATAATGTAAATATTATTATATAGTTTGGAAATCGAGTTTTAAAGCATAGCTTTTAAAAATAAGTTTTATAATTTGCGAAGTATTAACTATTTGTTTATTTTGTTTTGTTTATTTTTTATTTTGATTAAGAATTACTTTTATGTTATTTTATTTTCATTTTAGGTCCGGTTTGGTTTGCAAAAGTAGAGTCCAATGATATGCTCGCTTGACCCAGCAAGCTAACCAAATGGAATGAGACCAAGATTTAATCGAAGTCCAGGAGAAAAATGTACAGTAAGAAATTCAATGGTCCAACAGGCCCAAGCAAAAGGTTCAACAATTAGGGTTGAGTTCTCATCCAGATGTCGTTTATCAGGGGCCATTGGATCTGATCTAATCCAATGGTCCTGATTAAGAGAATCAAACTAGGTTTTTTACAACCCCCTAAGTGAAGCTTGTCGCACACCTTGGAACCGCCAGATCTGAACCAATCCTATGGTCCAGATCAAGGGACCTAACTAGGGTTTTCATTACCCTACAATTGAAGCACGCACAGTTGTCTTCTGGCCGTTAGATCTGGCTTTGAGATCTAACAATCCAAAGTGATCAAGATTATGGTTTTACCCTAATGACCAAATTGGCAACCATCTTCATCGAGTCTCAACCGTCGATCTCCTGACGCGTGGTGTGCACGTCTGAGCCCCCTAAATTGGTCACAAGCTTAAAAAGACTATTCTGACCACAACACGTTCGGATCTAGTCCCCATAGAGATCGTCATCCTCTCTAAAAAATCACCAATGATGATAGCAACGAAACCACCTCTGACATGTTCTCTCTTCCACAGTCATGATAGTGGTAGAGACACTCTTCGCTCGAATGAGCAAATAGACTAGAGGAGACCCGGGAGCCCTCGATCTAGCCACTGTGGAATCATCAGCGGGGAAATAAGCCTCATTTACTTTCCCCTCACATGCAAGACAAATGAAAAGTAAGAAAAGTAAGAAATCAAAAAGAAAAAAAGGAAAATCAGGGATAAAGGGTATATAAAAATCCATCAACCAAACCAAAAAAGGGGCAGAAAAAACAGAGAGAAAACCGAGAGAAAAAAAGAAAGGAGGAGCCTTTACCTTTGGAGAATGGGTGGCTATCATGGTTTCCCCAGAGTAAAGAGACCATCTGATCATCGAAGGTAACCTTTTTTGCCTTGGGTTTCAGTTCAGGGTTAAAAACAAAGGGAGAAGGGGATACTTTTAAGGTTTTCTAGAGTTTCAGGGGTTGTTTGGTTGAGGAAATGTGAGATTCTCATGGGAATGAAATCTATATTTTCCCGTTTGATTGACCAGGAATCTTATTTCTGATAATGCAAGATTACCAATAGTGGATTTTTGGGGTATATTACCAGGAATATCATTACCCATTCCCTTAGGTATTATTGGATTACCGACGTTTTGGACTAAAATGTCCTTAAAATTTTTTTATCCTTCTTATGTCATTTAATAATAAAAATTCTACGAAGAATAAATTACAAATTTATCCTTAAACAATTTTAGATTTACAAAATAAATCTATAATTAAAATTTTATATGAAGTTCAGGGGTTAAAATAAAATTTTACCCTTTCATTAAACCTTTTTATAATTTCAATTTTGTAAAAAAAATTATATAAATTTTATGAATTTAAATTTTTTAAAGAAAATATATAAATATTTTTCAAATTGTTAAAAAACAAATATATAATAAGTACAATTTGGTCAAATATGCATTCCAATAATCTTTTATTCTTTTAACCAAACACAGTAATCTTACATTACTAACCAAACACAAAATATAACATTCTTAGTATTTCTATTCTCTAGTAATCTTCTATTTCCACTAGTAATCTTATATTCTGTGAACCAAACGCGCCCTTAAGATCTAAGTTGGAGGCTTTTTGGTCTTAAGAAGGTTTTTAAAATCGAAAAATGGTGTCTTTAGTTGTTTGGGTGGGTGTTGTTTTCTACGGTGGTGAAAGAGGATAGTTTAGAGAGAGTGAGGGTTTTCTGTTTTTGGTAAAGATGAAAAGTGAGCAAATGAGGGGTGAATACCTGTTTTAGGCATAGATTTGGACTTAAACACTAGATGCTAAATGACATCGTTTTGAAGGGGAACCAAGCATTTTGGGTTTGGTTTATTAGTATTTTAGGTCCTTCCCTTTGTATCTTTTTTTATTTTGGTCATTTAATGAAATATGGATTATTATGTTTTTAATACTGCCAATTTCATTTTGTTTACGTTTTGATCTGTGTTTAATGATATGTTGATTGGATGTTTGGATTATTCGCATGTTGGGTCCTTCTGATTTGTTTGAATTTATACTTAACCCTATTTTGAATGGTTTAATAATACTTTAGTCCCTGCATTTTCCTCATCATGTTATTTTAGTCATTTTTTAAATACATACATATATATTTTAAAGAGAAAAAAGCGTCAGTGACCGAAAATTGCATTTGTTTCTTAAGAATTTTCTCTAAAAAGATAGTATCCGCGCGGACGTGTCGAAGACACGTATGACCACGACCACGACCACGACCCGAGACGAGACGGTGGCGGCGGCGGCGCGCGAGAATCCCCTTGTTCTCTTTCACTCAACAAGGAAATGAGAAATACAAGCCTTAAATACACTTCCCAATAGTGTTTCCAATACTATGTGGGATTAAGCATTACCAACAATTGTTCCCAATATGCCTATATTTTTGGACTATCTCTGAATGCTTTGATAGAAGCTTGTTATTATTTTTGTGTTATTGTTTTTGTTTAATTGAATATTTTTGTCCCAAAGATACAGCTCCACCATGAGTATTAACCTTTTCCTGCATTTGAGAAAAAATAGACCGAGACATTAAAAAAATATAAAGAGTATATTAAAGCTTAAAGAGCATGATGAACAAGCCAAAATAAACCCCGGAAAAAGAGTCAATTTCAGATTTCATGAATGAACTATTCAATTAAAACGAGATGACTTTCCAAGCTTAATTAACTCACATTTATATCAGTTTTTAAGTGCAAAAGTCCGAGGCCAAAGTTGCGAGGAAATTATTCATG